CTTGCCTCTCACGTTTGGGGTGCTTGTTTACCGTGAGTCCCCTTGCCTCTCACGTTTGAAGCCGATGGAGGCAACTTCGAACATTTGCTTCGTGGTTGATTATGTAATTGTTATAGTGAAAGGCAAGGGGACTCACGATAATCAAGCACCCCAAAGGAAACAGAACTTACTACGTCCACGTCGTTGTTTCTGGGTAATGCTAAAAGTAAGATAATCGCATTTAAACAGCTTCTGAGCGCTTTTAAAACCTTGATCTAACCTTCTGAAGGTCAAAATAAAAAATTTAAAAATATCATTTCTGACGTAAAATTTCCCGCTCTCTTCGAATCCGGTGTCAAAAGTAGGCGGTCCCATTTAAAAAAATCACTATGATCTCTAAATGACTTTGAAATTTGACCTCAAGGTCAAATTCATTTATTGAGAAAGATGAGCCCCATTATCCTGAACAATTTTTGTCTTAACTATTTTTCTATATCTGGCTTACCTATGGAGAAATTTGGGTGGGTCCCGTAAAATGGCCCACCGTGTATATCCACAAAATGACACATTTAATCGATCAGACACATTTGTAAAATAGTCTGAACGCTTTTCTCTTGTTATAATAATTATTAAATTATCGTGAAATTAACGTGATATATAATTTACTTTTTTAATCTTTATGATTTTGTCAGGTAAATTTTATGTTTATTTATTCATTGTTAGAATAAAAGCGTCTGGACTATTTTACACATCAATTGCAAGTGTCCTTTTATGAATACATATTTTTATTTCTACGCATTTTGTAAGACTTTCCAGCGTGTATTTTCTCGCTTCTGACGTCGTAAATCAAGATGGCCGCGGTAAAGACACTGGAGCTTTAGTCGGGATTAAAAATTCTTAAATAATAATTTGTATACTGTCCTTATAACACTGGCAATTGAATAAAAAGTTAAAATGACTCTTTAATCTACTGAATCTGCAACTTTTAACGACGCTGTTATGTTGTTGTTGCGCAGATATAATAGTAGAAAAAAGTTGCGCAACGACATATCATGTCAGTAACATCGTCGTTATAAAGTTAGAGGATTGACTACTGGGCATCTCTAAGATAAATCATAAAATAATTCATCATAATATATACCATCAATCTTTTCCATTACTTTTTCAATATATTTTACATTAAAAATAATTAAGAGTCAGTTTTTCTTAAATAATGAGAAATGATGACAACGAAAAGATCTTAAAAGAGTCAAAACTCCATCTGGCATGTTAAGAAACACCCTGTAAATCTTCAGATAGCACACGATATCCTATGGAGGTTCTTGGAACATTAGCACATCCTATGATCGTCTTTAGGATGTCCGATTTGTGATATTGGGACTCCTATGTCGAAATGTGTGTATGTTTTAATCATCGACTTGAAAAAGAGCAGAGAGAAATATATTCGGCGATCTTTCGAAATGTGTTTTTGCCCACCCCACAACAATTTACATGGAACTTCTCTCTCCCGATCAAACACATAATAATCCTTTCCGCGTATGTACTTCGCCGGGCCACCGCGCTCGCTCTATAATCGCTGCTCGCTCACGGACCAATTAAATTCGCGCGGGCGCGGATTAGATTACACGTGCGCGCGCGCGCGCGCGCGCATTGTGACGACAACGCGGCTGCGCACCCTTCTTCCATCGAGCCGAGGAAGATCTCGATCTCGCGTGTAAACAAAGGCGAAACATTCCTTCGAATGCGACGTATGTGTGCGTCGGGGAGCAGCGTTTGTTTAAACGACCGGCTGCTCGTCGCATCGTCGGCGTGACGCCAACGTCTTGCAGGTAGTCCACGAGTAAACAAAGACGGAACGTTCCGCCGGCACGTGAAAACGATGCGCGCCAACGACGACGAGGTCGTCGTGGTCGTCCGCGCATCGTTGGCGCGTGACTCAACGCGCGCATACGCGTCCCTGTGTGCGTACGCGAAAGCGTGTAGTACGCGCGTGTTGCGCGAAAAATTCTCACACGCGGAAAAAGCGTGACGCATCGCCGATCGAAACACCGCGGCCTTCTCTAGTACGCGCGCTAGTTCACCCGCTCGCTCGTTCGTGGGAACGGACAAAGAGAGATAAGATTGGCCGCTTTTGTGTCTCGCGACTAATTGCGCGCGCCAGCGATATTTAAAATTAACGAGATATGCGCGCGACCGCGCGAGATCCTCGGGCTGCGCGATTTCGAAGCGGAGCGCGCCGCTGCCGCAATCGCAGAGAATAATCGAGAGAATCGCAACGCGACTCGCACGCATGCACACATATAAACACACAAATATGTGAGAGGTGTTGCTTGAAAGAAGCGGCAGGACGTGCGCGTTTTCGCACGTCCTCGAGCGAGACGCGGTAGCGTTGCGTTTTTTATCTGTACATCTGTAGCGTCCAGTCCTGATGCGCTAGATCCATATTCCAAATATATCTCAGACACACGGATACTTAACAATAGTTATACTTGAAAATGGTCGCTCAATCCCCTCCCCCCCCCCCCCCCCC